GCCTTTCTCTTAAGGCTCAAGTTTTATTCTAGCTTTTATTACACACGTCAGTCTACTTGCTGAAGCTCTAACTAATGCCTTATGCATAATAGGGGCTGAATCAGTGCTTTAGTACAGATGAGGTCTCAAGGATCCCATGTCATACAGCAGAAAATTGTTTTGACACCACACTTACAGTCATTCCCCGCCCCCCATTTTCTCTACTTCAGTGGTCTGTAACTTGTCTTGCTGTGTTATCTTCTTTTAAGGTTTCATTCTTTCTTTGTTATATAATGTCTTCTCTGTTATTTATCCTAACACTACTCTTTCTTTTTACTATACTAATTTTTTCTTTTTTTCTCTTTATTGAGATATAACTGACATATAACATTGCTAACACTACTTTTTATTCTAGCGTCCACCTGTATACCTGTGTTCCTTCATTTCCATGACTACTTGTACAGTGTGATTTTTGATCATTCACCTTCAAATCCAAACATGCATATGAGTCAGTGCAGGCATCTATTTCATTATGTCTTCTAAAGTGCCTGGGCATTTACGTTGAAATAGACATGCTTGAACATCTATTGACGTACAGTATCGAAATATTGAAATTCCATATTGAAATAAACATTATTATACTTGCCTTTCCTTTTGTTTCTCCTTAACATTTTAGTCAGGGCTTTACATTTGTTTTCTTTTTGAAATTATATATATGGATGGTTAGCGGCAAATATTGTTTCAACATGGCACAGGGGACATTGCTAAATACCTGTTATAAAAAGTGGGTATTTGTTCTGATTGAGTGAAGAACCACTATTCTAAGCAGTCCTTAAAATCTGCTTTGAGACACAGACTACTGGAGAACGGACTTGAGAATATGGGGAGGGGGGGAAGGGTGAACTGTGATAGGGCGAGAGAGAGACATGGACATATGTATACTAACAAACGTAAGGTAGATAGCCAGTGGGAAGCAGCCGCATGGCACAGGGATACCGGCTCGGTGCTTTGTGACCCCCTGGAAGGGTGGGATAGGGAGGGTGGGAGGGAGGGAGACGAAGAGGGAAGAGATACGGGAACATATGTATATGTATAACTGATTCACTCTGTTATAAAGCGGAAAGTAACACACCATTGTAAAGCAATTATACCCCAATAAAGATGTTAAAAAAAAAAAAAATCTGCTTTGAAGTTGCCTGCAAGTGGGGTGACTGCTCCCTGGTTTGCCTGGAACAGTCCTGATTTACTCCTGTTGTCCGGGCAGAATTATTAATTATGCCCCTTTCAGTGTCCAGAGTCTCTGTTTGGATGATAAATTATATCATCGCACATTTTTAGAAGTATTTCTTCTTCTTACCATCATGATCACATTATTCCCCTTTCAGCAGCATTCTCTGTGTCCACTCGGTCTTTGACAAAATGTGCCAGTACCTCCACTATTGAGCTTTTCATTCCTAAAACCTGCTAGCATCCTCTCTTACTCATTCTTGAAAAATCTGAGATGACTGTTTAAATACCTTTGGTGCCTCGGCCTTTTTTTCCCCTCTCACTAACTCGATCCTGTCTTCACTAATTCTCTTAACCTACTCTTCTATTTTTGGCATTTCTACCTTAATCCCCTTTCCACTTATTTTTCTACATAGCTTTGCTGTTCTGCCAGATTTTCTTACTTGCACAAAATTAATTTTGCCTTATCTGACAATTTGCAACTTCAAACTTTTGCCTATAAATAGACCCTGTTAGCATTTTAGCCCCAATTCTCTGTTTGCTTTGATGTATGTCTCTGGTGTTGACACACATTAAGATGAGCATTCCTCAATTCCATTTTTAGCTGACTGCTTTATATGTTACCTTTGGATTGTACCATAAACTGGTCTTACTCTCTGATACAGAAGGACCTCCAAACAGCACACTTTTGGTATTCTTTGAGGAAATGCCATATTTTTGCTCTATCTTTTAAGGAGTAAAGGAATTTTAGCCTTTGGATTAAGACATTTAGCTCCCAAGAGTTTTAAAGATTCTTAGTATAATTTTTTTATTGTGATAAAATACATATTACATAAAATTTGCCAGTCTAACCCTTTTAAAGCATGCAACTCAGTGGCATTAAGTACATTCACAATGGTGTGCAGCCATCACCACTGTCTAGCCCCAGAACTTTTCATCACCCCAAACAGAAACCCCACACCCATTGAGCAGTCACTCCACTCCCCGCTCCCCCAGCCCCTGGCAACCACTCAATCTGCCTTCTGTCTCTGTGGATTTGCCGCTTCAGAACATTTCATATAAATGGAATCATACATTTTTTGTGTGTCTGGCTTTTTTCACTTAGCAAAAACTTTCAGGGTTGATCTTTGTTGTAGCATGTATCATTACTTTATTTCTCTGCATGGCTGAATAATATTTCATTGTATAGATAGACCTTATATTGTTTATCCATTCATCTGTTGATCAGTCTAATTTTTTAAATTAATTAATTAATTTATTTTTATTATAGTTGCTTTACAATATCGTGTTGGTTTCAGGTGTACAGCACAGTGATTCAGTTATATGTACACATATCCCTTTGCAGGTTCTTTTCCCTTATAGGTTATTAGAGAATACTGAGTGTAGTTCCTTGTGCTATACAGTAGGTCCTTGTTGGTTATCTATTGACCAGTCTAATTTTTATCAGATCTTTACCCCAATGTGAAATGAGTGGTACAGTAGCATGATAAATGCAGTGAATGGTACCTGGATATTTTAGATGAGAGTCTTAGTGATTGGTGTGTGCCTAATGCTGTGGAATATAGCATGTATAAGAGGCAATTACGCTTTGATATATTTTCTTCTGGTTGTTTCACTATGTTTGGGTATTTTATCTTATTTTTACCTGATTATGATCACATTGAATAGAAAATTTTGCATGCTGCTCTTTTTTTCATAAAATTCATTCGTTTAACAAATATTTGAATACCTACTATGTGCTGGGCACTGGCCTGGATACTTCTGAGGAATAAAAAGTTCTGGTGGGAGTATGGTTTGGGAATTATTATGGATATTATTTAAAGCTATGGGGCTAAGACCCCCCCCCCCCCCCCCCAAGACTCAGCCCCAGGGTGCTCTCAGAGACAAAGTTCCAGAAGAGAAGGAGGTTAAGGAAAGAATAGGCAACCTGGTAAAAGCAGGAGAGTCTGGAGGAGAAAGTGCTCTGGAGAGGAGTGGCCCCTGCTGTCAAGTGCTACTGAGTGAGATTGTGAAGAGGATTAACCACTGGGTTTGGCAAGATGGTGGTCGGAATGGAGCTCAGTGGAGTGGAGAGGACCACAGCCCAGCTGGAGTGTGCTGAAGAGCAAATGACATCATATTTTTAACATATTTCTGCATGTCTCATATATTCTTAAACATAATTTGGTGGCAGAATAAGAAGTCTAATTGTACATTTTACTAAGCCACTTATTGTCTTATTGTCTCCCTACTGTGTGACATTTATGTTTCCAATATTTACTACTACAAACAAGACCAAAGTGAGTAGCTTTGTAAACTTTCTTTCCTACTTTTAGCATCGTTTCCTTTAACTGGAGAGACAGAAAGGAAGATGCTGATCTAAGAACAGAGCGTCTTTAAAGCTGATGATTCTCATTTGCTCAAATACCTTCTAAAAGAACTTCCTCCAGTGGTGTCTGAGGGACCCCAGCATCTTGACTGCAGTTGTCAGTTGGGCCCTCCCAGAACAGGTCTCTCCTTTTATCAGCTTATAAATTCTTTGAACCTTGAACAGAGAATTGAATGACAAGAACTAAACCCACATTATGGGATGAAAACTATACACGGCTCACTAAATAGTTATGTTAAGCAGAATGCATGTACAACAAGTGTCAACCCATATGGCATCACAACTTAAATGTGATGCAGGCATTGTTATTAACCCTTTTTCACTAAGGTCCTGGTATAACCTTAAGCCAGGTATGGCTGAGGGAAGTACTCAGCCATGATCTCCACCTTCCATTCCTATGTTCCTATGCATTCACATAGATGTGATCAGTGCTGGAATTTAAGGACGTTTACCCTTTTCCGGCAGACACCCTGCAGATCTCCCATTGCAGCTGCCTGCCGATATCAGGGAATGACTTCTACCCTTCCCATGCGTGCCTTGGGTGGAGTTTTAGAAACATTCCCAGTTTGTCGCAGAAAGAGAACAACTTCCAGGCTGATTGTCATCTCAAAAATGTCCTCCTCTCCCTCTCCCCATTCCTCAAAAACACCCCACTGCTTTATAGTCACTTCCTGGTCACGTTATGAGTTGCTCCTCCCAGCAGCAGCAGCTGGATAAAGGAGCTGACCCCAGCCGCCTTGCACAGTCTGCTGTTTAACTGCTTCCCGCCCAGCACAGCAGCACCTCGCCCAGGACTGGCAGTGCCCAGTGTCCTGCTGGTGCAGTTTCTGGGACGTGCTGGCTGCTCTGGAGCTTGTCTCCTGTGATCTGCTCCATGCCAGCAGGACAGATCCTGCTGTTTGCTGGGCTTTAAGTGGAAGGGTGGAGTCGTGATTGGGTCAAAAAGGAATAGATGTAATAAGAGAGATGCATGTGCATCTCCCCTGTCCGTTCAACTGGCTCCTTTTCTGGAGAGGTCCTGATCGCCCCAGATCATCCCCGAGTGGAAGGTCCAGGGGCATATAACCACTCAGCAGAACGGTGGAGTGTTCTAGAATAGGTAGACCGAGATGCTTTCCTGTACCATTACTGGCTCTGTGACTCAACTGGGCGACTTTATGTCTCTGAATCTCATTTTTCTCACCTGTTTAAAAAAATAGAAGGATGTTTTAATGCCAGCCTCCTTAAAGTATTGCGGGAAATCCATGCGACGATGCATGTAAAGTGCCCACCATAGAGCCTGACCCAGTATGGGCTCGGTCAGGGTGAACTGTTACTGTCATTATCTACCCCCCGCCCCCGCTGACTCTTTCTGGCTTTTGTTGCTCCCAGTTTGTGGCTCAGACCGGACTTTTCAAGCCTCTTTCTCTTTGTTTCCTACTTGCAGGGGGCTTTGTGAAGAAGCATGGTCAGCCTCTTGTTTCCAAAGCCTTGGGGTAAGTTCCAGGATGTCCAACCCAGCGTAAGATAACTGGCGTTTCCTGAGGCCTTGGCGGAACAGCCTGGGGAGCAACTCTTCTCAAACATCTTGGGTTTTGATAACTAAAGCGGGAGCCTATTGTGGTGTGATGTGTCAGTCACACGGCACCTCCTGACCTGGAGGCCTCTATGGATACCCCTTTGACTAGTCCAGTTGCTAAATGGAAGTGGGCTATGTGGCCGTAGTCTGCAGGGCTCCCTAACAACCAAGGCAAATAATCAGAAGACTTAAACAAGCAGACTTGGAAGAGGCAGTCAGTATGTGAATTTCTTATGGCAAGTAAGCCTAAATTGGTGAGGGTAAGTAACAGTGGCTGCTGTAACAGACAAGCCCCCAAATTGCAATGGCTTGACACAGGGAAAGGTGATTGCTTATTCAAGCAAAGTCAGTTCACATATTCCTGGACAGGTGGAAAACCTTCCCATTATCTTTCAGGGACCCAGGCTCCTTCTGTTTTGTGGATCCATCATCTCCTAGGCCTTGGAGTCTCAGCAGGACTCTCTGCATCGAGCCCGGAAGGTGGGCAAGAGAGACTGTGGAGAATAGCACAGGAGGTTTTGATGGGTCCAGCCTAGAAATGGCGCATGGTGTTTCTGCTTTCTGATCACAGTCTGTTGGCCAAAGCCCAGCTTTGGCCAGACCTCAGTAGAATTCAAGCATACCTAACTTCAAGGGAGGCTAGTAACTGAAGGCTAGCTGCATGCTCAGGAGCTGGAGGAAATAGGTTTTGGTGCCACAGATTTTTCTAGAAATGTGTTTGAGGCACAGAATTGGGAAGGTTGCCCTTTGCTGGTTTCTGAGCCCAACTTAAGTAACTTGGGTGGGGACAGAGAGAAAAGCAGCTGCATTGCTGTAGATTCTCTGCTGATTTCTTTCCAGGGACAGATGTGCAGCCCCTGCGGTGGAGACCCGTCCTAGCATCTGGGGAGAATGCCCACCAAAGTTTGCTACTAAGCTGGGCCGAGCGGTGGTCAAAGAAGGACAGATGGGGCGATTCTCCTGCAAGATCACTGGCCGGCCCCAGCCACAGGTCTCCTGGCTCAAGGTGAAGTTTTGTCTCTGCCCTGACTCTGGGTTGGATCCCTGGACTACGGGGAGGCGGTCTTCCCAATCAGTCCCTTCCACTTCAACTGTAGAGCGTCCTTGAGGTTCTCGTGTGTTTGGTAGCCGTGCCCGTTCTTGCCCCTGTTTGCACACTCTCCCTGTGTTACTCAGCCCACGATGTCCGGTAATCCACACGCTCGCAAAACAGTATAAAACTTCCGAGTCAAAACAGACCTGGCCATGTCAGGAGAGTGGAGTCTGAAGTCTGGGTCTGCTTTCAAGCCCCAGCTCCCTGATCGACAAGGCATGAGGTGCTGGGCAAAGCATCTGATCTCTTAGAACCCCAGTGTCCTTATCTATGAGGCAGAGATAATCCCACCTGCCTCCAAATACTGTTGGGAGGCTCCCCGTGGGAGTGCTTTATAAATCATTCAGGGCTGAACCATGTGAAGACAGAGGTGGGGGAGGGGTGGGGGAGGGGAAGAGGAGGCAGTAGTGCGGGGGTGCAGCCCATGTTAACAGGGCAGTGAGGAGCTCTGGGGGTCAAGGCCAGGGAGAGGAGCTTTTTCACAGATGGAACTCCTGTATAAAAATGAGTGACAGGATGCCTTTTCTCTGATTCCTGATTCTCCTGTACTGACCCTGGAACAGCAATAAAAGGAGGAGGGAGACACAGGAGGACTAAAGTGAGGAATATAGGATTTCCCACCTCAAACTAGGGCTCCTTCGAAACAGGTTCCATACACCTGCCCTCAGCTGGACCGAACACCACAGCGCATCCATGCACCTCGAGTCAGGACCCTCGGGTTGCCCTCAGGCTGCTCTCCAAGCATGTTGACAGAGCCCAGAGCAGAGGGCCCTGCTGTGCATGCCTGGTGTCTGTCCCACCTGGATTGACAGGAGGTAGGACAGAGTCAAAAGGTGAGCAGTTTCTCTGACCAAGCTGCCTATGCCATCCACAGGGAGATGTTCCCCTGCAGCCCAGTTCCCGTGTGTCTATGTCTGAGAAGAATGGGGTGCAAGTCCTGGAAATCCACGAGGTCAACCAAGATGACGTGGGAGTGTACACGTGCATGGTGGTGAATGGGTCAGGGAAGGCCTCCATGTCTGCTGAGCTCTCCATCCAAGGTATCAGGCGGTGGGAGGGCTAGTGCCGAACCGTCCCTTCCTGGAGTCCTTACCCTCCTAGAAGGAGCTGCTTGTTCATTACGTGTCTGTGTGTGACACGTGTCACACTTACCTACTCATGTGTCCCTCCCCAGGGGCAGGGTCTTGAATCAGAAGAAAGGGTAGGTGGGTAGCACAGACACGGCCACAGAGGAAGATGCTTCACATGTGTCTGCACACCTGTGTTCAGTTTTTCCTTCTTGCTCAGACTCCTTTTTTTAACTTTTTTTTTTTTTTTTTGCGGTACGCGGGCCTCTCACTGTTGTGGCCTCTCCCTTTGCGGAGCACAGGCTCCGGACGCGCAGGCTCAGCGGCCATGGCTCATGGGCCCAGCCGCTCCGCGGCATGTGGGATCTTCCCGGACCATGGCACGAACCCGTGTCCCCTGCATCGGCAGGTGGACTCTCAACCACTGTGCTGCCAGGGAAGCCCCAGACTCCTTTTTTTATTTACATCTCTAATTGCCTTTTGGAAGAGTGGGCATTGCTAATGTCTTGCCATCACCTCAGATTTAACCTGCCTGAAACTGATCTTGTCATCCATCCTGTCGTTCAGATCAGGTGCTCCCTCAACTTAACTCTTTGCTTCCCACCAGACTGGGCATTTCAGCGTCGCCTATGACTCCTGTCTCTTCTTGCTGTAGTCATCAGCCCCAGTAAACTCTTCTCTTGAAATCTCTTTGAATACGCCTCTCCCTTACATTCCGCTTGGTTCTGCCAAGTCCAGCCTGGGGAAGCCAGAGTGTGTGGAGGGGGAAGGCGATTGACGTCACTTCATTCTAGCGGAAACCTTGAGCGGGGTGGGATTTAGGGATCTGGGAGGGAAACGACCTTACTCTCTCCTCCTCCTTTCTTACCCTCATTTCTTTGATTTTCCTCTTCCCCGTCTCTTTCCTTTCTCAGAAAATACCCCTTCTTGCTTTCTGTACACTTTTGGCCCAAGTGTGTTCACTCCCACAGAAACAAATTTATTCTACATTGCAACCCAGGAGATAGATAGATAGATAGATAGATAAATAGACAGATAGATAGCTGGAGAGAGACAGAGAGAGAGACAGAGAGACAGAGAGACAGAGAGACAGAGATTTAACTAAAACAAGTTTTATGAAACAATCCTGAGTAGTAGTATGTACAGTACATGCTGGCATTTTCTCTTCCATTCTACACCATTAAAAGAAAAAACCCTGGGAACTTTCCTGGTGGTCCAGTGGGTAAGACTCCATGCTCCCAATGCAGGGGACCCGGGTTCGATCCCTGGTTGGGGCTGCCAGGGAAGCCCCAGACTCCTTTTTTTATTTACATCTCTAATTGCCTTTTGGAAGAGTGGGCATTGCTAATGTCTTGCCATCACCTCAGATTTAACCTGCCTGAAACTGATCTTGTCATCCATCCTGTCGTTCAGATCAGGTGCTCCCTCAACTTAACTCTTTGCTTCCCACCAGACTGGGCATTTCAGCGTCGCCTATGACTCCTGTCTCTTCTTGCTGTAGTCATCAGCCCCAGTAAACTCTTCTCTTGAAATCTCTTTGAATACGCCTCTCCCTTACATTCCGCTTGGTTCTGCCAAGTCCAGCCTGGGGAAGCCAGAGTGTGTGGAGGGGGAAGGCGATTGACGTCACTTCATTCTAGCGGAAACCTTGAGCGGGGTGGGATTTAGGGATCTGGGAGGGAAACGACCTTACTCTCTCCTCCTCCTTTCTTACCCTCATTTCTTTGATTTTCCTCTTCCCCGTCTCTTTCCTTTCTCAGAAAATACCCCTTCTTGCTTTCTGTACACTTTTGGCCCAAGTGTGTTCACTCCCACAGAAACAAATTTATTCTACATTGCAACCCAGGAGATAGATAGATAGATAGATAGATAAATAGACAGATAGATAGCTGGAGAGAGACAGAGAGAGAGACAGAGAGACAGAGAGACAGAGAGACAGAGATTTAACTAAAACAAGTTTTATGAAACAATCCTGAGTAGTAGTATGTACAGTACATGCTGGCATTTTCTCTTCCATTCTACACCATTAAAAGAAAAAACCCTGGGAACTTTCCTGGTGGTCCAGTGGGTAAGACTCCATGCTCCCAATGCAGGGGACCCGGGTTCGATCCCTGGTTGGGGAACTAGTTCCCACATGCTGAAACTAAAAAAAAAAAAAAAAGATCCCGCCTGCCGCAACTAAGACCGGGGCAGCCAAAATAAATAAATGAATATTTAAAAAGAAAGAAAGAAAGAAAGAAAGTGTAGGACTACCACATAAGAAAACGTTGGCAATTTAAAAAAAAGAAAAAGAAAAAACCCTGGTCCCGACCATAGCATTTGACTTCACAACTCACTGCAGGCTCAGGACCTGCTGTTAGTCATCTGGAGAAGTGTTTTAGCCCCTCTCCCTTTACTTGCCCTGGCACTGAATTAAAGAACTCTTTCCTTCTGAAGCACTTAATGACATTTTGTTTGAAAAGATTCCCAGAAAAATCCCCTCAAATAACCAAAACAAAACGGGATAGATAAGATTGGCAAAAGGTTGATATTTCCCTAATCTGGGTGTAGGCTTTCAGTGTTTGTTATATCCTCCTCTGTACTATTGTATATTTTGTAATTTTCCGTGATAAAAATGTTTTAAAATCATGTGGCAAGAAAAACATGTCTAGTAATTGTATGTTTTTTCTTTGAAGAACTGAATAAAATTCCACTTTCTCTGTACACTTTAAAATGAAGCAGGTATTTGTCAAAAATGAGCACTGGGGGTTTCTTTTTGAGGGCCACATGCAAGTTAAACTTTCTGGGTTTGAAGTTTTCAGTAGAGTGGTGTTTGTTTCCTTCTGTGGGCTAGAGAACTGGAAGCTCCAGTGCCCAGGGCGGGGCAGCAGAGGCTGCCATAAAGGTCCCAAGGCAGTGCTGGAAGGTTAACAGTGTCTCCAGGGCTCAGAGGAGTTTATCAGATTAACCCAAGAAGTTCAGGACCAGGGAAGCTGAAAGGAGAGAGGGAGGGAGGACCATAGGTGATGGGGAAAGTGAGAGTTTGGGAAGCCAAACTCTGTCATAAACAAGAGATGGTTGTCGTATCACTTGCTGTTCTTGGTGTATAAAACATTCCACTAACGGTCTTTCTACCTTCTCCCTTTCTCCAGGCTTGGACATTGCCAACAGGTGTGTGTAGGCTTTGTGATTATCCTGTTTCCATCTTGAAATGCCCTGAGAGAAAAGAGGGCTCATCATCAAGGAACGCCCTGAATTTCTGAGTCACCATGTAGGGGGGAGAACTGACTGTTTGGGAGGCACTGTTTTATTTGGGGTGTTTAGTTTTATTCTATTGTAATTTGCTGTCCAGATCCTGTGTCAGGCTTGCCATCAAGAGACTCTTGAAGACCCTGCTCAGTATCTTTACTAGTTAGCTGTCATTAGGAAGGGCACTGCTCTGCAAGGATGCCCTCCACGTTCAAGGCCAGAATCTACTTGCTCACCCAGCACGTCTTCATCGGGAGAGCTTCCTTTCCTGAGCGTGAGGCTCTGTGCTAGATGCTGGGTATGCATGGCGAGCTGTCTGGTGTAGAGAAGGGCCTTAAACAGAGCCACACATAACATAAGCGCTAAACATAAGTCTACGAGAAGCGCTAATTTGGAGTAGAGTGTCAGAGGACACCTTTTCGATGGCTTGATATTTGAGCTCAGGTCTGTGAGGAGTAGTATGAGCTAAGAGAAAAGCTCAGGGAGAAAGTGTTCCAAACAGAGGTGTTGCAGGTATGAAAGTGGTGAGTTGAGAGGGAGCCTGGGGCCCAAAGAACCCTGAGGGGCTGCAGCCTGGTAGGCACTGGAGACAGTGTCTTGTGGGGGGGTCCACGCAGAGCCACCTCCCACATGGCATCCCTGCAGGCCGTCTTGAACAGCTCAGTTTTACTCTTAAGCGAGTGGAAAAGCTGTTGGAAATTCTTAAGCTTAAAATGGCATCATTCAATTTATGTTTTTAAAAGATGGACTGTGCGTGCTTTGTGGAACTTGGGTTAGGGCCAGTGTGGATAGGGGACACCACGTGTTTGAACCAGGTCGGGGCTCGTGTAGAAGAGAAAAAGGGCAGATGTAGTAAGTGTGGATAGAACACTGGGCTAGGGATGGGTTTGAAGAATGGCTGCTTGTTTTCTGGCTGGAAACTGAGCAAACTGCATAGAAAGACATCGGCTCTTACTCTATCTTGATCTGTGGGCTTTTGTAATCCCGGGAGTCTGGGCTTGTAATGCATAACCAGATGATTGTTCTATTTCTTCTTCTGCCCCACTGTCCCCCGCCACACACCCACCAAACAGGTCGCTTGTGAGAGGAACAAAGGTGGCCAATTCAGACATCAGGAAGGAAGTGACCAATGGAATCGCTCAGGGGCTGAAACTGGATGGCTTGGAGGCTGTAGCTGAGAGTAAGAACTGCTCCAGCATCCAGAGAGGTGGCTCCCCGACCTGGGCCACGGGGAGCCAGCCTCAGCCCCTGAGGGAATCTGAGCCGGAGCCAGTGGGGGACTCGCCTGGAAAGGCCCTGAGGACCCCCGTCCTGCAGAAGACTTCCAGCACCATCACCCTGCAGGCCGCAAAAGTGCAGCTGGCACAGAGAGTGCCAGTCTCGGGTGCCCCGTCTCCTTCCAGAGAAGAGAGGGAGAAGCCAGCTGCTCGCCCTCCAGCCGCCCTCCACGCCAGGCAGTGTGGCCTGGGAAGCCAAGACACTGTGAGCCAGGTTGCTACCAGGAAGGTCCCCATGGAGGGCCAGGGGGACACAACATTCCCCAAATTTGAGAGCAAGCCCCAAAGCCAGGAAGTCAGTGAGGACCAGCCAGTCAAGTTCAGATGCGAGGGTGAGTAGAGCTGCCTGAGGCCACTGGTGCCCACACTTAGCCCCCGGGTGGCCACTCCCTTCCTTCCGCTCAGTGGTCAGAGTCTCCTGTATCCCCCGGCCCCTTGGACCACAGCCCCATCCCCGACCCCAGGAAGCACCTTACAGGGGTCTGCCCTCCGGAAGGACTCAATCTCGTCATGTCTCTTGTTCTGGAGAAACTCCCAGCAGTGACCCATTGTTCATGGTTGGAGACAGCACTGACCCTGAGCCCTAATTCTCACCACCCTCCGCCGGAAACCCATCACCACCATCTCCACCACACACAAGCTGCAGGGTCCCCTCCTCTTTCCTCCCTCTGGCTGATCTGGAGACCTAGCTTATCACCGTGTAGCCTTCCTCCCCAGGGACCCTGCCTCCGTCTTGGGATGTGGGGTGGAGGGGTAAGAAAGCAGGTTCAAGCGGGAGGGCGGCTGCACATGGGACTGGGCTCTGCCCTCCGGCTCAGCCTCTCCACCCCTACCTGCACCCCACAAGTACAGCGTACTCTCGGGGGCCTCCCGTCCTTCACCTGGCCCTGTAGTTTCAGGGATCCCGAAGCCTGAAGTGACCTGGTTCCTGGACGGTGCCCCCTTGAGGAGAAGAGAAGGCACCATCGAGGTTTATGAGGCTGGGGGGACCCATTACCTCTGCCTCCTGAGAGCGCGGGCCAGGGACAGCGGGAACTACAGCTGCACAGCCACCAACGTCCGAGGCCGGGTGTCCTGTGGCTGGACCCTCCTGGTGAAAAGTGAGTACATTCCTCCAGGTCACCCCAGGTTCCCTGAGGGAGGACCTCTGTGGGGTGCTTCATACACCGCACAGGCGTCACCTCCTGCAGCCCCCTGTCCAGGGTGTACCACCCAACAGAAACATCGCCCCCACCCACCGGCCAAGGCCAGAGTCACTGCTCCAGGAGAGTGATTCCTGATCAGGAGTTCACATCCGAATCACCTCAGAATAAACATGCCCAGGCCCCAGGCCCAGCGCAGCTGTGGGCTGCCGAGTCTCACAGAGAACCAGATCGACACACTGAGAGTGATGTGAGGTGATGTGAGTGCCACATCTTTTGTGCTCAGTATAGTGTCTGTTTATAAAAGTAGTGCATGTTCATTGAAAGGAATTTAAACAATGTATATAATCTTATGACTCAGAAGTAAATGATAGTTTAATATTTTTAAAACAAATTTAGCTTTGTGCTGTTTGTATACTGCTTACTATTCTAATTTGCTCACATTACATAAGCATCTTTCTATACTATTTCTTTCTATATTTTTTAATGTCGTTTAAAAGCATGCTTTGGGGCTTCCCTGGTGGTGCAGTGGTTGAGAGTCCGCCTGCCAATGCAGGGGACACGGGTTCGTGCCCCGGTCCGGGAAGATCCCACATGCCGCAGACCGGCTGGGCCTGTGAGCCATGGCCGCTGAGCCTGCACGTCCGGAGCCTGTGCTCCGCAACGGGAGAGGCCACAACAGTGAGAGGCCCGCGTACCGCAAAAAAAAAAAAAAAAAAAAAAAAAAAGTATGCTTTGTAATGGCCGTATAATATTTCATAGAACGATGTTTAGGCATCGTGGCCTTATTGTTGTTTCCATTTATTTTTTCACTACTGTGACAGAACTGTGTTTAGGGACCCTAGACTCATGTCATACTATTGAGGAACTTATTAAACCACAGCACATTGCAGGCTGATAGAAACTCTATGAGACAAATAACCTTCACCTATTTTTTCAACAAGTAAATTGCAAGCCAAAAGGAAAGAAGGAACAAACTGTAGCAAACTTAGATGAAAAGACACATAAGAGACACTGATAGTTGCAATACATGGACTTTGCATGGATCCTGATGGAGACAACTTTAAAAAATATTTTTTTGTAAGAACATCAGGAAAATTTGAGCACTGACAGGATATCCAGTATAAAGGAGTTAGTGCTATTTTTAAGATGTGATGGTGGATCTCATGGTGATTTTTCTCAAAGTCCATATATTTTAGAGATAAAAGCTGAGTTATTTACTGGTGAAATGATATGATTTCTGACATTTACTTCAGATATAATCCATGTGTTGTGGGACTCAGTGGCGGGTATGAATGAAGTGAGATTGGCCATTATGAAAGTTGAGGAACAGGGATATGATGATTCACTATGCAGCTTTCTCTACTTCTGCGTACGTTTGAAATTTGCCGTAATAAATGTTTCAAAAAAAAGAGCTTACTAGTTCATTCACACAGTAAGATGCCATGAAGCCAGGGGAACGAATGTGCCTGACCTGTAGACCCTGCTAGTGAAACCCGTCCAAGATATGTTAGTACGGGGGACAAGCCAAGTGCAGAGAGAGCCGTGTGTGTATCATATGCTGTTTGTGTTAAAGGGAAAAAAACATCTATGTACACAAAGCAAACTGATGTTTGTGCGTGCATAAACATTTCTGGAAGGTTCCACAAGTTACCTCTAGGAAGAGAAACTGGGGGTCCAGGAGGGGGTGAGAGGTAGTCTTGCTTTTCACTGTATACCATTGACTCACTTCTTAATTGGGAATTTTACTACATTTGTGAATTCCTCTGCAAGGAATAGTATCCATTCATTTGGAGGTGGGAGCGCCTGTAGGCAGAGGTCCCACGTCGGGGAACCTGAGCATCATCATCAGGGCTCTGTGTCAGGGCGGGAGACTCACCTAACATTGGGTCCACCAGAGGTTGAAAACCAAGAAGCTTTGGTTGGAGTGTTAGCTCCTATTATTAAATGGAAGCTGTGTGTGGAGACCATAGCTGCAGCAAGTTGGGGGTGAAAGACACTGTGGGTTTTAAAGCCACCGCAGAGCTGGGCAAGGGGGTGGAAACTGGGCATGCCACAAAGCTTGCTGTGCTTACCGAGATTCAGCTGTGTGTTTGTTTGTTTGTTTTAGAATGAAGGCTGCTCAGGATGCTGCAAGCCTTCGGGTAATTTCCAGAGTTCTGAGAATGTTGATGTTGAGTACTTTTGCCAGCGTTCCTGTTCCTTGTCTGGAGGAGCAGACTTATGGAAGTCCTTAGTCTGCCATTGCAGAAGCCCTGCTTGACTGCCTTTCTCCTTAGCTGTTCTCTAGAAGGCTTCACCAAGATGTAGGTCGTCTAACGCCTCTTCCTCTCTTTCTTCCTATCACTGCAGAAAAGCTGCCTGTTTGCCTTACCAAGACTTCTCTTTCCATCCCTCCCATCCCCACAAAGATCGGGTCTAATAATGATTGACTCTCCCACCATTTCTTCAGTCTCTCCTCGTCCCCCTATCTAGAGGCCTCTTTCTCCTCCCTACAGGTGTGCTCTGGTCTCCCCTCAACTAAAAAGAAAAAAAAAAACTTCCTTCTGCTTCAGTGACCCTTAAGCTCCCACGTTCTCTCTCTCACTCTTTTACCCCAAAACTTGGTGCTACTCCAGTCTCCACGCCCAGCTTCCATCTGATAATAACAGCTAATCCCCCACCGAAAGCCTGTTCAGTGTGCCAGACTTCGTGCTAAAAGCTTTACTTGCATGGCCCCATTCAGTTACCCCAACAATCTTACGAGATAGAGTTACACCCATTTTCCAAATGAGAAGACTGAGCTGTAGTGAGGTTAAGTGACTTGTTCAAGGTCCCGTGCCTTGTAAAAAATAGCATATTCCTAACCTGTGTTGGTCTGACACAAAAGCCCATATTGTTTTCAGTGACTCCCAAAGGCATTTCTCTAATGGGGGAATTCGATGCCGTCCAAAGGGGTGGAGGTGGTGCCTCCCCCAACCTGTCCAGATAGGCTGGCATCCCTTCCCTCAGTACCAGTCCCATTCAGATGCACCACATCCTGACTTGTAGCTGTGCTCCCACTGCCTACTCTCCCTTTAGGGGAGCTCGGGGCTAGAGGAGGAGGTGTGGATATAAAGTCAGGGAACTGGGTGTAAAGCCTTGCTTCACCATTGGGCTTGACTATGGGAGATTATGAACTTCACCTATACAACGAGCTAAAGGTAGCAGTCTCGTGGCATTGTCACCTCTGGAAAAGTACCTGGTAAGCCCTCAAATATTAGCCTTTGCCCTTAAACCTTTGCTGTATAATATGGTTTTCCCCTCATTACTGTATTGAATAGCTTCTCTTGAAAAGTACCAGTGAGATATCTTCTCATCACCAAATCCAGTTGCCTTTTCTCAGCTATCAGCCACCTTGACTCTTCTGCGCCATGTTGTGGGTGTTGTAGGAGAGAGTTTCTATCCCTATTGCTCTTAATTATGGCCCCCAAGCTACAAAATACTCCCCAACTCACCTATTTAGAAGGCTTCCGGAAAGTTCAGCTCAGTGGTTCTCAGTGAGATTGTGCGTCAGAATCATGGGGTGCGGGGGGGGGGGGGGGACTGGGTAATGCATTGTCGTGACTGAGTAATGCATTGTCCCAGGCCCTCAATGCTTCTGAATCACTGGCCTAGGTTGGAAAACTAGAACCCATGTAAGTCCTTGTCATTTGATTCTGTCCTGGAATTGGAAAAATTAATTATAATAATTTAAAATTGAAATGTCCTCACCAATGGACATGTGGTCTCTACAAGTGAAAAAGATATTCACAAGAGTGTGCAGGGTCTTTAGCTATTACATACAATGTTTCAGTGTTCATCCTTGTACATATATCTCTTGAGTAAACCATAAGGGGATATTTCTATGATTAGATCTTAGAGGTTGCCAGTCTGTTCTTTTAATTTATAAATTGTTCTTTGAGTCAGCTTAGGCAATTTATGTTTTCCTAAAAAATCTATTTTATCCACATTTTCAATCTAATGAAACATTTCGGCCAAGGATTTAAAAAAAAAAAAAAAAAATGTGTGCATCGTCTGATGGGACACGTCAAAGATGATAAAAGACACCAGAAAGTAGAATAGGGCCAAGAAAGGGGGAAGGAGGAGCTTTGCAGATGCTCCAGGATAGTGAAAGTCAAGACAAGATGGTGGGGTGGGGGGGACTTGTGTCCCAGAGGAGAGGAGGCCAGCCTCGTCCTGAGCACTCCCAGACCTGGGTGGGGTGTCTTGTGACAGTGAAAAAGCCCCTGCCAGTGACTCTGCCTCAGGCTCCAGGTCTCTGCCTCAGTGGTGCTGCCTGCTTCCCTGTGTGATGATGGGTCAGGCAAAGCCAGGCCACCAAAGAAGCAAGCCCTGGGCGCCCAGGGCAGTGAGGTGTCAGCCTCCAGTCAGTCAGCAGCACGGGTCAGCTGTGATCTGAGATGGCCTGTCTGTTCTTTGCCTTCACAGGGCTGGCCGTGATGGAGGCGGCCCCCTCATTCTCCAGTGTCCTAAAGGACTGCACTGTCGTTGAGGGCCAGGACTTTGTGCTGCAGTGCTCGGTGCAGGGGACCCCGGTGCCCCGAATCACTTGGCTGCTCAATGGTGAGTCCCCCCTGCTCCGGCTGCCTGGGCCCTTGACCCTGCCTGCATTCTCACTTGGCTTCCCCACACATCACTCTGAACCGTTTATGCATGAGAAGGAAGCACGGGGTACAGAGAGAGCACAGGACCTGGGAGTCTGCTGATGCCTGGCTGGGGACACTGGGCAAGTTTTACTCCTGTCTGAGCCTTGAGCTCCTCGTCTGCAAGACGAGAATAATGCCACCTACCTTCCAGGGTGGCAGTTGTGAAAATTAAATTAGATCCTTTATGTAAAACAGCTAATGAGATGCCTGGCACCTAGGTGCACAAGTAATTTAGTTCCTTTTCATATGGCCAGGCTCAGAGTGGGCCTCAATAAATATTTGTTGAGTCAAAAAATGAACAAATATACCAAAAGATTAATGAACCACACTCGCAGTTGCTCATGGGATCTTGCCTTTTATTTAGCGGCAAGTGGTTTGGGGGTTTATAGACCAGCAATTCTTTTTAACATTATAGTCCTATAGAGACATCCCAACTTTTTTTTTTTTTTTTTTGGCAAGTAAGGTCCTTTGGGAAAAAAAATTATTATATATTATCACCCTTCTCTTTTTTAAAAAAAAAAAAAGCCTTTAAATTCCTAAAGTATGGGAGTACTCTATTATTAGAATTGAGAACAGTCCGTACAATTGGTGAAATTGAGTGGGGTCTGCTTTGGGGATCTGCGGGGAGGGTGAAGGATCTGCACTTGTCCTTCTCTGTATCGAGTGGTTGGGTGACCTTGGACACCCCCCTTTACCTCTTTGGGCATCGGCTTCTTTATTGGTGAGGAGTTGGGCTGGAACAGAAGGTTCGAGTCTCTGCCAGCTCTCACACTGATGGAATAGGCTCCTTAAGGGAGCAGTGGCCCGTCACCTGTGCACCAAATAGCCCCAGTCATTTCTGCACCATTGCCGTGTTGCCTGTGAACCTGCCTCATCGGTATAGTTTGCTTAGGCTTTGCAAGAAATGATCTTTAGTCAGTGAGAGAAGTTGCCTTGGGGTCTCCCTATGTGTGGTCTTCTTGGGCAGAGAGGTGAGAATTGGGGTCTCCACCCCTCACTACAGACAGAGCTCCTGTCGGATTCCATGACTGACTGTGAGGAGGCAGCCTCCTTGCAGCTGGAACAGAGCATGGATGTTAAAGACTAAAGGAAGGGCTCTGAGCAAGCGAGTTTCCCTTCAGCCTGGCTCACAGTCCAGGCCAGACATCAAGAAACATTGTCAATAAAGGACCAGTTGGTAAGTATTTCCAAATTTGCAGACCATGCAGCCTCTGTCACAGCTACTCAACTCTGCTGTCATGGCACAGAGCGCAGCCAGAGACAACATGTCAATGAATGGGTGTGGCTGTACTGCAATAAAACTTTATTTATGGACATGTGAATTTCACACAATTGTCAAACGTCATGAAATATTCCTCCTTTGATTTTTTCCCACCATTTAAGGTACGAGAAACTATCCTTAGCTTTTGGGCTATACAAAAACAGGCGTCAAGTGGGATTTGGCCCACGAGCAGGAGTTTGCTGACCCCTGGTCTACACCTCTCCAAACTGAAAAGCAACCCCACCTTACTCTTGGTGAATTTTGGCATTTTCACACTCTTCCCACTAGAGGGCGATCATGCACAAGTCGGGGACCCTTGGCCGCCAACTCTGATCTCACCAGTCTTGGAGCTGGGAGTTCTGTGTTGCCTAATTCTGAGTGCCCTGAGCCAACAACTCCTTTCTGGAGCCACCATTTCACCCCATGCTTGTGGAGCCAAAATGAGCTATGCTCCAGTAAAAGGAGAGCTCTCAAACAGCTTGTTGGCACAGGTTTCAACAGCAGAGGCACTTAGATGGCAGTCATGGAATGTACTGGTATTCCCAAGGAAGAGAGGTTTTAGGTACCTGCACGCACACACACACACACACACACACACACACACACACACACACACACGGGTGTTCAGTCCTCTCAGTAGCAGGATCCTGGCCCCTGACTCTCCCAGCCCCCAGCCCCACTTCTATGAAGTGCATTCGGGCCAGCGGAATCTCTTTCCTCTGGCCCTGTGGCTGACTTGGCAGTGCCTGTCATAGAGATGTGAAGTGTTGCTATGTGCAGAAGAAAACATTGGATTGCAGGGAGAGGACCTTTTTCTGCACTTTCTCCCTCTCCCACTGCACACCCCCAGTTTTATGATGTGCAAACCAGGAGCCTGGGCTGACAAGGGAAGGAACTGACAGTTGCTTCGTATATGGTGAATGGAAACATTCCTGC